ATAGTGATTTATTTTATTTTAAATTAATTAACTTAAAATTATTTTAATTCATATTTAAGTAAAATGCAGTTTGGGGCAATGTTTCTAAACTAAATGGGTATTTAAAGGGATAGTTCACCCAAAAATAAAAATGTTGTCATCAATTACTCTCCCTCATGTTTTTCATTCTTCTGTTGAACACAAAAGAAGATATTTTAAAGAGTGTTGGTAACCAGACAGTGGACGGTAGCCATTGACTTCCATAGTATTTTTTTCCCTACTACGGATGTCAATAGGGTCCATCGACTGTTTGATTACTAGTATTCTTTAAAATATTTTTGTTTGTGTTCAACAGAAGAAATAAACTTATACAGGTTTAGAACAACCTGAGGGAGAGTAAGTGATTTCACTTTTAGGTGAATGATGTTCAACATGCTAAACGAAAGATACTGTTTCTTTCTTTCTTTCTTTCCCAGATTACCGTTTATGACCAGGAGCATTTCCAGGGCAGGCGTTGCGAATTCACCGCTTGCTGCCAGAACATCATGGAGTTCGGAATGGAGACCGTCCGCTCCCTGAAAGTGGAGTGTGGCGCGTGAGTAAAAGCACACTTCTATGATTACAGAAGTAAATCTCTCTTCCTCTCTCCAACCCTTGTCCTAATTGCCTCTTGTGACTCTAGCTGGATAGGTTTTGAGCACTCTACCTTCAATGGCCAGCAGTTCATCCTGGAGAAGGGAGATTACCCATGCTGGGAGGCCTGGAGTGGAAGCAATGCCTATCGCATTGAGAGGCTGATGTCCTTCCGCCCCATCTGTTCTGCTGTGAGTGAGACCATCTGCACCAGAACACGAAATACACCCTCCAATAGACTTTCCGATCATCACTATTTCTGAAATGTGTTTGTCATAGTGAGTGTAGATAGATGGCATTAAAAAAGCAGGGCAGAACCGGATTTCACCAAGTGCAACATGTTTCTGGATCACCATCTTTGTTGATCCTGGAACAACATTCTAATCAACCAATCAGATTTGAGGGACAAGTTTACAGTTTATGTCAAGTTTAGACTTAAAACCAGAATTAGGTTCTTCTACATCAGTGTTATTAACCTATAATTTCCCTCTGATTTTAGGGATAACATTTTTGTTTAGGGGTTGGGATAGGACTACATTTTCAGACAGCAATGCAAAATCAGGACGTGCAAAAGCAGCATTATGAGAGAGGTACTGATAATAAAAATTAGGGCTATGCGCCATTCAGAATTGAATTGAGAACAATTTAATTTGAATTGAGCTAGCACACAGGTTCCAGGAAGCATAATTAAAATTACATTTCATTTTTCAATATGAATGACCTATATACATGTAAGGGGCATAATAATTTTTGTTTGGAAATATAAGTCCAAAATATTTGTATATATAAATATATATATTTATATAAAAAATGAAAAGTCATCTTTATTTTTAGATTTATTATTATTTTAATTATTTACAATTTACATATATGTTATGATACACAAAAGGGGTATAATCAAGAATATTAGAAATATAAATCTGAAGTATGTATTAAAAAAGCAACAAAAAATATTTTATTAAAAATATAAATCTATTAAAAATCAATGTTTGAAAAGCCTAAGATTATTTATTTCAACTTTTATTTTCATGGTCATTTTATGGAGCATGATGGAAGAACATTTCCCAGAATGCAATATCTTGTTTATTTTAAGTATTACACAGTTGTGTGAAGCGTGAAATCTCTTTAAATTGCACTGCAGTAAATTCCATTTCCATTTGCATTTTCGTTCATCCCAATTCAACGTCCTGTGAGACGTGGCCAAATTCCAAGTCATGAACCGAAAGTGAACCCATTTTATCAATTCAAAATGTTGTTCTTCATTCTGAAACAGATGCACAAGGATTCCCGTATGATGCTTTTCGAGTGTAAGAACATGAGTGGAAAGCAGTGGGAGGTGTGTGGTGACTACCCCTCTCTGCAGGCTATGGGATGGTGCAACAACGAGATCGGCTCCATCCAAGTCATGAGTGGCGCGTGAGTACGATTGCTCCAATGGATTTTGATCGTCTGATTATTTTGTTTGGGTCAGAATTTTGGCCCAAAACAGTGGCTAGCGTTCTGGCTTCCTGCTCTTATGTTGCTTTTGATCTGCATGCGAGAAAGGAGCGCGAGTGCTTCGGTTCGGGCTTGCGTCACTGCATTCGTCAACGTTTGAGACTTCAAATGCTCCACTTGGCCTCCATGGTAACATGCTGTGTTCCTATTTCTCTAGCTTTGTATGCTACCAGTATCCTGGTTACCGTGGTTACCAGTACATTGTGGAGTGCGACTGCCACGGAGGCGAGTACAGGAACTACAAGGAGTACGGCTGCCATGCTCAGACCCCTCAGATCCAGTCTATCCGTAGGATCCAGCACTGAGAGGAGCCAGCCGTGTCCTTCCTCTCTTCCCTCCCCTCTTCCTCCTTCTGAGCCCTTAAATCCTCCACTTCCTCCATCCCTCCGTTTCCAGCCATGCAAGACGGTTTGTTGACCAGGACGGCAGGCTGGTATACTGGTGCTACACCAATGTAACAAGTCCACAGCACTTTTTTTTACCCACTACACGAGGAAAAAAAGACAAACTATTGACGGCAGGAACGATGAGATAAAAACCGCAGAAAAAAAAAGTCCTGTATGATTCCAGCCGGACGGACGTGGTGTGAAGCTGGGAGCGTTGCTCTACTTTCGTCATGACTTGATCATCATGATCGTAGCCATTGCAGTTTTCATGGTCAACATCTGTACGATTTTTGATGAATAAAGAACATGAGTATAAAATCTGAGGAAACACAAAAACAGAATACTTGATATCAGCTGACTGTAGTGTGTGGATCTTTCCTGACCTTACATGAACATTAGGACTAACATTCAACTCTCACAGATGAGCATAAAATGAGAAGGTGTAATGAATTGTCTAAAATTAAATGAAGTGAAAAGATACAATGTGTCAGAAGAATTTACATTAAAGCATGACAAGGACAGCCTTTTGTTCTATCTATATCAACATAGCAAGACCTCTAATTCAATTATGTGTATAAGTATTTTTGTTTTCAAAATTGTAATCCACTAAACTAAATTACCTTTTGGATACTGATACATCAAAAAAAAAAAAATTTACGGTGAGTAAAGTGGATAGGTGATAATGTTAGACATTACAAATGTAACAAACACAACACAAATTGGAATTGTAAAGAGTTTATTTTCTGCTTCTTCAAGCATCCACCTATGTTTAATTTTTCAACATTATCAACTGAGTGATATTGGGAAAAAATATATGCAGTTGTATCACTGTGGAGACCCCAGTAACCACAAGAGGGAACTAGAGGGTCTATAGAAATACTGATCTGAAATGATGAGATTAGTGACAGCCATATTTTAACAGCAAGAAATAAAACTAATCTTAACCTAACGTATACTGTGCAGCATATCATTTCTCTTAGTTTCGTGCAGTTATCGTATAAAAACAAATAATTAAATATTTGGAAACAACATTTATTTATATTGTAATATATTTATAAAATTTTACAATTACAATTTAATATAAAATTAAATAGCAGCATTTATATTTTAGGAAGTGGGTCTTTGGAAGAAGATCATCATATATCGGGGGCAAAAGTTTCAAAAAAACCGACAGCACTAGGTGTTTAAATGCCATTTTAAACAGCATCCTAGAGTGTAACATGGTGCACTCCATTTAAAACTATTTTGAACTAAGTTTTCACATTTTAAACATGCGATTTTCATGACTTCATATTACATGCAATTGAGAGACTCTCTTTCTCTCTCTCTCTCTCGGCTGCTCCCGTTACAGCAGCATTATCCGCGCATATTATTTAGAGACTACCTGGAAAGTCTCCAAGGCTGTGTTCAAATTCGCCCCCTATAGCCTCATTCACTGTTCTACATTAGTCCACTGATATAGTTCACTTGAAGGAGTGAATTCGGACACTGGGTGCGCCGGAAGGGTGCAGCTTTTGTATAGTTTGTGCTTGCCGTTTAATAACAATTTGAAACATAGCAAGCAGCTCCAGTAGTAATGACAATATTTTTGGAAACTGGATGGATGGATGATGCAGCTGCGGACGCCATCTTCTTTTGAGACCGGGGCGGGGCTGTATCTGAAATCGCATGCTTCACCTGGTGGACAACAGTATGTTACAAAAGAAGTATGTCTGAATTAACAGTACTCATAAAAGAGTAGCCAAAAAGAACCCGGATGACCAACTTCTTCCGGCAAGCTTCTGAGGTGTGCATACGATGGACACTTTACTATCCCATGAGGCCACGGGAGAGGATTTGTGAATGGCAGTGAAGCAACGCAACTGACGCTGGTAGGTCACGTGATAAGAGCAACATGGCGATGTACGTCCAGATTATTCACACTCATGGTATAGAATGTACTTTTTTAGCCGTCGTGAATTACTTATTCAAGTACCTACTCAAGAGAGGATGCGATTCAGACGCAGCCCAGCAGTTCATTCGGCGCGACCCTCAGTGTATTATGGGTATTCGTTAATTAGTTATTATTAGAGTGCATTGTGGGATTAAATGAGTGCACTCATTTAATCCCACACTGTGGTTTCTTACACCACTACAAATGGCTCTCCCCTCAAAAAGTGCCTTATTTAAGGGTACATGGTGGCAATTTCGAACTACCCGGCTTCATTATGCAAGGTAACAGCAAATAAAAGCTAAAAGAATAAACAGTTTAAAAAAATCATTATGACCAAATACAGCCAAATACACAGTGTACTAAAATAAACTTTTCATTAATACATTTAATTAAAAAATATATATATTTTAATGGTCAAAAATGTTATGGACGTTTGCCAACTACCCCTTAAACGGCAGTGGTTTAATCCATCGTTTTAGTTTGGCCCTGTGCAAACCAATTTTCTACTGATTAAGCCAAGTGGAATCTATTAGTGTCCCTAATTTTGATTCAAAGGGTTTAACTTGCAGACCAAATGAAGACCAATTTTGTAATAGCGCAACAAAAAAACTGAATAAAACGACAAACAAAAGGTTATTTTTAAATGTCAATTGTTCGCAAACCACTACAAACGCGGCGCAATGCATATTTTGTGGCTCATTTTGCCGCATATTTTAATAGTTCCGCACCAAATACTTGGTTTGAGACACACCAACAAAGTGAATGAAGAAACATACCTGGGATATTACAACTACGCCGCCATGACCGACCTTCTTCAGAGTTTTTCTCTCAAATACTCGCATATTTGCCGCCTCGCGAGCATCGGACAGTCTGTCGAGGGAAGGGAGCTTTGGGTCATGAGAATAACAACGAATCCGAGTACGGACGTACCGGGCAAACCCAGGTTCAAGTATGTGGGAAACATCCACGGGGACGAGGCTTTATCAAGGCAGGTGTTAGTGTATCTGATTGAGTACCTGTTGACTCAGTATGGCCGTGATGGGAGAGTGACGGAGCTGGTGAACCGAACGGACATCTATATAATGGCCAGCATGAATCCTGACGGATTTGAGCGCGCGTTGGAGGGTGACTGCACTGGAAGTGCTGAAGGCCGCGAGAATGCCAAACATTATGACCTCGACAAGAGTTTCCCAGACCAGGATAAGCCCTCCAGCAAGACTTCAGATGATACACCGGAGGTCACGGCTGTTATGAGATGGATTCTTGAAAAAAAGTAAGTTGTTTGCCGTGTAGTTTTAATATTTTATGTAGTCATTTATTTATTTATTTATTGAAATCATTTTCCATTAATAGCCTCTTATATTTTTCTAAAACTATTAAAACATTTTTGTTAATTGAAATAAAGCTGAAATGAAATACAAATATTAGAGGGACAACGGTTGCCTTACTGAGATAATTTTATTGAAGCACTAACAGATAATTAAGAAAAAAAACGATTAACTGCATGCTCGACCAAATGGTTGAGCACATTTTGAGTCACGTTATATTTTATTGAGAGGAGTACCTAACTTAACTCAAACTGATTGAGCCATCTCTACCATCTGTTTGAGGTATGTTATCCCATAAAAATCCACTAGATGTCATAGTGTCAATCAACAGCACTTGTCACAACACTTTTTCTATCAACAGCACTTGTCACAACACTTTTTCTAACATGGATGTCAGAAACAAATAAATCACTGCCATGTGAACTGGTTTTGGTGAAATTTTGTAAGTTAAGCATTTTTTTTTACATATTACACTGTAAGAGCCCTAACTTTACAAAATTATGTTACTTGGTGCCATGAAAAAATTTAAGTATGTTTTTAATATTTTTTCAAAAATATGCTCAACCAAACGGTTGATTTGGCACATAATGGTTAACTGTCACCCCCTTTTTGAGAATGGACATTACAATGCACTATTAAAACTTGGTTGTAATACAAGAATGCTTTGGAATATAGACCCAAGTTTGGTCTTGTTTTAAAGAAAACACTCATCAGATTATTGCTGAAGTAAAAGCATGGATGTTTTAAATTAACTAAATATTTTTTACTATAAAATTACTATAAAATCAAAGCCATATATCTAACCAAGTTGTGTTCCAAATTTGAAGTTGATATCACAAAAAATTGAAGTTCCCATGAGATTTTGTTTAGGCATAATACCAAAAATAGCCCCCGGGTGACATACATTCCATTGAATTTAATTGTATGCATTTTGCTGTAACAAATTAATCAATTTCTGTCCAAATATCATTTCTGTCACAAAATATGGAACCTTGAGACTCAGACCTTTCTGACAATGTGTTTTGTCAAGATTAGAAAGGGTTTTGATCATAAATTATGATGGGCAAAAGAAAAAAAGATTCTGTTGCTCTACCAGACTTGACGGCATGTTTCTTGAAACATAAAAGCCTAAAATGCCATTATATTACTATCTTTTGCTTCTTCTTTTTTTTAGTTTTTGAATGCAGAAAGAATGTAATGTTTTTGGTTTTGTTACTTTTAGTTATTTTGTTTATTGTTAAAAAACAAGAAAACATAATTTCCGGTGTTAAAATGAAAACCTGAAATATTTAATGGCATACTTCAATAAATAAAGAAGATTTAATATACAAAAATATTTCATTTTGATTGTTTTTAAATAAATTAGTATTATAGTTCACATTTCTGATTTTCATAGTATGAATTCAGGTACTTTTTTTTTTTTTTTTTTTTTTACCATTAAGTGACATCAACCATTTGGTAGAGGCTGATATTAAAAAAATTATGGGATGTTGAAAAAAAATACATCGAGTGTGGTTACTAGCAACATAAGTAGATAAGAAATGCAAAAAATAAAAAAAATTCCATCACTTTTTTTCCTGGTGAGGTCTTTAAAGGGTTAAAAATGAACTTAAAGGGTTAGTTCACCCAAAAAGGAAAATTCTGTCATTACTCACCCTCATGTTTTACTCACCCCCAAACCTGTATGTCTTTCGTTCATCTTCTGAACACAAAATAAGATATTTTTAATGAAAATGACTTCTGGCCCTCCATTGACAGCTACGCAACTGACACCGCTTCAAAAAGTTCATAAAGACATCGTAAATTAATCCATATAAACGGTCCAAATTTTCTGAAGAGACACTAAATTTTTGAGGAACAGATTGAATTTAGGCTTAAACCACGAGAATGAACCTCGGTTCTCACAAGTCAAGCGATGAGTTTCCATTTACCGATGTGTGAGTTCGTTGATTAATTTTAATATGTGAATAATAGCCTATTCAATCTGTTTTATTATGTAAAACGATCGTGTCTCTTAAGAAAATTTGGACTAAACTGCTCAATTCATATGGGTTAGTTTTATGATCTCTTTATGAACTTTTTGAAGCGTAGGCTGTCAATAGAGGGACATAAATTGCTCCGATTTCGTTAAAAAGATCTTCATTTGTGATCCGGTGATGACCGGAAGTCTTACAGGTTTGGAGTGACACGGGGGTGAGTAAATAATGACAGAATTTTTATTTTTGGGATAACCTTAGGTTTCATTCAAAATATTAATAAAACCTATTTTAAAAAAAGTAATACTGGACTGTATGCACCACAAAAATGTTCACATCAGAGTTAACTAGATTTTAAGAGAAATTGGCATTACGTTTTAAACTGGCCCAGAAAAAAAATGAATCATGAATTATTCAGTGGTGTAATGTGAAAATCTCAGATCAGAAGCAAGAGAACAAGTCAAATCTTTTCACAAGAAGTGTTTTCTCACCAGGTTTTCTGGCTCTTTGTCGTCTTTTCAAGGTTTGTCTTGTCTGGTAGTCTACATGGGGGCTCGGTGGGGGCCAGCTTCCCTTTTGATGACAGTTCTTCTGCAAGCCCAGGGCTGACAGCCGATGAAGACCTATTTCACCATATAGCACTAACCTACACTGAGAACCATCCCATTATGAGCATGGACAATCCTGACTGTCCGGTTGATCCTAACAAAAGCTTCGGAGACGGTATCACAAACTGTTGGACATAAAAGTTAGGTATTTTAACTAAGTGAAACTCCATTGAACTTTGGTTTGGTGTTGCAGGGGGAATGCAGGATTTCAACTACCTCAAAGGGAACTGTTTTGAAGTCACTTTTAAATTCAGCTGCTGCAAGTATCCACCAGCTTCTCAGCTTTACACAGAGTGGACCAACAACAAGGAAGCCCTTCTTACCTACATACAGAAAGTGAGTTGATTGGGATGTTTAGTGTGTAGAATGGCCTACTGCTTGTTCCATCTACTTGAACTAAACTCAGGATTGCTATAGATGTAACCAGTAACTTCTTATGGATGCCAACACCTAACTTAACCTCATATGTGTAAAGAAAATGTATTGTTAGCTGACAGTAGTAATGGGAGAAATGAGCTTTGAAAAGCTTCGAATCAATTCAACCAATTGCTTCGCAAAATGATTCACTGCGTCGAAGCGTTCGAAACTCCACACGCTGGTCAGAACAGTGTAAATGCAACAACTCAGGCCAAACATGTATAAAAAAACCTTTTACAAACCCATTGCAAATGCTTTATTGAAAGTATTATCTATCAAATGCAATTAACTAATCATCTAATAAGTGTCTGTAATATGTGTTCTTTTATCAATGGCAGGGCTTGTTTTGATTGTTCCATGGATGACTCAGCTAAAGAGGCAAATAAAGAGACTATTAATAAATATTATTCCTTTTAATTATACTAGTGTCTAATTAAAATGTATCAAACTGATCAGAGATCAGGTAAAGCCCACAGACATTTGTTCAATGGTTTGCCGATCTCAGTAATCCACATGATTCATGGGTTCACAGAAATCACCGCCCCTCCAGCAGTAAACCATTGAAATTTTGAAACTGTTATGACGTAACGATGCCTTGTTTACTGAAACGGGTGACTTTGGCAGTTTGATACGCGCTTTGAACCACTGCTTCAAAACCTTTACCAATATTTTGTTTCTAAATCAGTGTTTCGAAAGCGCCCACCACTAGCTGACAGTTTCCTTCAAAATAACTTGATTCAGTCAAGTTATTGGACAAGTCAAATTGAGTCGTTCATTTCATTCTACATAAAGCATTTCAGTTGAGATAACATGTTTCCTTTGTGTGGAACCATTGTCCACAATTTAATTAAATTATTATTATTTTTAATGATATCAAATCTTATTTTACTTCTGTTTAAGGCTCATATTGGTGTGAGAGGTTTCGTAATGACCAGATCAGGCTTTGGTCTCCCAGATGCAACAATCTCTGTTTCTGGAATTGATCACAACATCACAAGCTGGATGTTTGGTGATTATTATCGCCTGCTGCTCCCTGGGAGATATGACATCACTGCTAGCTCACCTGGGTGATTATGTGTAGATGCTTAAAAGTAAAATGATGAGATGGAATTAATCCATTTTAATGGAATTGTTCATGTTTCCTCCAGGTACCTTTCAAATACTGTGAAGAATGTGCCGGTGATCGAAGGCAAAGCCACACTGCTAAACTTCACTCTTGAGGAACCGGTAGAGGAAATGTTAATGTTAGATCACTCTGAACGACACATGGTGACCAAAGAAGATCTGAGCACACCAGGGCCTCCCACCTCAAAATATCCAATCCAGTCTTTGGAATTCCAATATCATAGTTATGATGAAATGGAGATGATGTTGCAACTGTTTAGTGCTATCTATCCATCCATCACTTATCTGAACTCTGTTGGACGATCAGTGCAGGGCAGGAATCTTTATGTGATGGAGATTTCCACCAATCCTAGTGTTGGTCAGCAAGGTGCAATTGCATACAGTCACATTTTTATATTATTTATATGTGTATGTACACAAAGTCAAAAGTTAGGAATAATTTTCCTAACTCTTATGCACCCTCTTATGAATTTATTTGATCAGAAATAGAATAAATATTGTGAAATATTACAAAAGTTTTTATATATAAATATATTTTCAAATGTAATTTTATTCCTGTAACGGAATTTTCAGCTTCAGTGTTCAGTGTCACATTATCCTTCAGAAATATTCTAATATGGTGATTTGCTGCTCAATTATTAATTATGTCATTATTATCAATGTTGAAAACAGTTTTACTGTTAATATTTTGTTTTAATATTTAATGATTTTTTGATGACTAGACTGTTCAAAAGAACAGCATTGATTATAAATGCCTTTACTGTCACTTTTGATCAATTTAATTTCAATTTCAAATGTTGCAAAATATTTCTAAGTATTAATTTAAATGGAATCAAAAGTACTCATTTCTTTTAAAATCTTAAATACCCAAAACTTTTCAATGGTAGTGTATCATGTTTCAACATTGATAATTAGATATCTTTCCTGAGCAACAAATGAGCACATTATAATGATTTCTGAAGGATCATGTGACACTGAAGATTGCAGTAATGATGCTGAAAATTCAGCTTTGCCATCACAGGAATAAATGGCATTTAAAAACAACTTTAAACAGTTTTTTTTATTTTTTTCGTTTCTTTTTTTGCTGTATTTTTGATCAAATAAATGCAACCTTGGTGAGCAGAAGAGACTTTCAAGAACCTCAAAATATCCAAACTTTTGACTGCTAGTTTACATTAATGCGTCTCTATGAAAACCTCCCCTTACTTTAACCAGGCAAACCAGAGGTCATGTTTGTGGGTAACCTGCATGGAAACGAGTTTATCGGTCGTGAGATTCTCCTAAACCTGGTTGAATATTTGTGCCGCAATTATGACAAAGATCCATTGGTCACGCGTCTGGTCAATAGCACAAGAATTCACGTCATGCCTTCCATGAACCCAGATGGGTATGAATTCGCGCTAAAAGGTACAAGCAAAACAAACTGGCAGGTTGTTTAATTGTTCTCTTCTGTATTTACACTAATTTTCTTCTCGTAGCTCACAAGGAACGGGTCTCAGGAGACCGGAGTATTATTGGACACAGTAATAGTCACCGTGTTGACCTGAATGCAAATTTCCCTGAACAGTCACAATCGAAGAATACTGTTGAAGCAGAAACTCAAGCAGTGATAAACTGGATCAAGGCCCATTCCTTTGTGCTGTCTGCAAGTATACGTGGAGGTATAGAAAGTGGCAGTCTTAAGTTTCTCAATGTTAATGAACATTTTTAAAACTGAACTGCCGTTGTTGTCTCCAGGGTTTAGGGGAGTCGTGTATCCGAGTTCCATTGACTCCACTGATGAGAAAATGTTTAAATCCGTTGCAGAAGCCTTTTATTTGGTGTGTATTTTGGATGCTGTATATATCATGAATTGTTTAAAATGTAGTTTCACTGACTCGTTTTCTTGTTTCCAGCAATCTCAGGCTTTTCAAGAGCCCCAATCTTGTGACGTGTCAAGAACCAGAGAGAAAAAAGACACAAAGCACCGTCGTCCTGTGGTTACAGGTCAGACTGAAGCATAATCGCTGATCAAAGTCATTATTAAAGAAAATACCTGTATTTACATTACCCTTAATTCAGTGCTGTATTTTCAGCATCATTTCTCCAGTCTTCAGTGTCTCATGATCCTTCAGAAATCATTCTAATATGCTGATTTACATTTAATCATTTAGAAGACGCTTTTATCCAAAGCAACTTACAACTGAGGAGAACAATAGAAGCAATCAGACCAGCAAGAGGGCAACAATATACAAGTGCTGTAACAAGTCTCAGTTAGTCTAGTACAGTTAAAACATTTTTTTTTTTTTATCAGAAAAACAAATAGAATAGGCAAGTGCTAGTATTAATTGGTCAGGTGCTGGTGAAAAAGATGTGTCTTTAGACATCTTTTGAAAATGGCTAAAGACTCAGCTGCACGAATTGAGATAGGCAGGGAACAGTCCAGGGGCAAAGGAGAGAAGAGAAGGTTTTGAAGAGTGTGCGGGAGTCAGAACAATTGCTAATTTGGTTGTGGTAGACTGTTGTTTTAGCAGTGGAGACATTTGCAGAGAAGGAAGAGAGGAGAGATTGATACAAACTAAGGTCAGTAGAATTTTTTGACTTGCGCCACTTCCTCTCTGCGGCCCTGAGTCCAGAGCGATGTTCACGGAGAACATCAGACAGCCAGGGGGCAGAGGGTGTGGCGCGGGCTGGTCTGGATGAAAGGGGGCAAAAGTTGTCTAAAGACGTTAGAGTGGAGCAAAGAGTGTCAGTCGCACTGTTATTGTCCAGTGCTGAAAACTGAGCGGGTGAAGGAAGTGAGGATGAAACCATAGAGGATAAGCGAGAGGGAGAGAGCGTAGGTTACGCCGAAAGGTAGCCTGTGGATTTGATGCTCTCAAGAAACATTGCTGCTTATTATCAATGTTGAAAACAGTTGTGCTACTTAATTGTTTTGTGGAAAGAGTGATGCACTATTTTTCAGGATTCTTTAAATGAAAAAAAAAAAAATGTTCTTTTGAGTTTTCTAACCAATGTCTTTACTGTCTCTTCAGATCAGTTGAATTTGTTTTTCTAAAAATATATATATCTTGATTCTGACCCCAAAATTTGAACAGTAATGTGTACTTTTTAAAATTTTATTATATTTTGTCTTATTTGTCTGTTCCTCAGTACATATTCTTCTACGTTGAGTATCCTGTTTCACACAGAAATCAACATTGTTTTTGCCTTCTGCATACTGGTAGGAACTGATATGCTGACTTGGGCGTATCAAGGCACTGACACTTTAGCCGTTAGCATTGGTCTGAGCTGTGAGCTGCTCCCGCCGGAGGATTCGCTCTCAGAATACTGGGAGAAGAATCACAAAGCGCTCTTACAGTTTATACAGCAGGTGATTCATTTTTGATCATTGTATTTTGGGTAAGCTATTCAGTTTAAACATTTGCATGGTTTGTGTGTCAGGTTCATATGTTTGTGAGGGGTATGGTGACTGATGGTCATTCTGGCAAAGGCATTGCTAATGCCACGGTCGTGGTGGAAGGCTCAGGTCATCAAGTCCATACCAGCAGCACAGGCCAATACTGGAGACCCCTGGCTCCTGGTTCTTATCATCTCACAGCCTCTGCTCCAGAGTGAGACCTTACCCTTCACAAGAAATGAACAGAATTCTCCCAGTTATAAAATGGGTCAGCCATTACATTTCTTGTGCTATTTTCCCCCAGTTATACTCCAATGTCGGCTTCTGTCCGGGTGTTGAAGTCTCGGGTGGAGCAGGTGGACTTTAAGCTGACCAGAGATGCATTGCAGCCATCTAGAGTAGAACAGAAGGACTTTGAGAAACTGGTGGAGCAGCTTTTAGTCCCTGGCGGGCTGGATCAGATGGTCCGCGGCCTTCTTCCTGCTCAGACCCTGGAGTACCGAACCTACAGGGAACGCTCCGAGTTCCTGAGAGGACTGACATTAACCTTCCCTCGCATCACACGGCTGTACAGGTATGTAATCCTGAAGATGGGTCTTTATCAGGTGGTTGGCGGCGCTTGCTGAGAACTTGGAGAATGAGATATTGAGTACCCACCTGCTATACCAATGTGCTAACACCCACTCCGAACACCCTAGCCAAGCATCACTCACATTTTTGTAGTTATGTGATGCAAAATAAGTTTTTATTGAGAATTTATTGAATGGAGTTAGGTAAACGTTGTGAAACTTTAAATGTCATTGTTTAAATCGTCACTTTTTTTTCTCCTGGGGTCAGTTTGGGTCAAAGCACTGAGTTCAGAACTATATGGGCCCTTGAGATCGCTGGCAATTTGAAGATGTCTCAACCTGCCGAGCCCAAGATCCGTTTTGTGGCTGGAGTCCATGGTGATGCGGCAGCAGGTCCAGAGTTGCTGCTCGAGTTTGCTTCTGTTCTCTGCCTCAACTATCGCAGGAATCTCGCCATCACCAAGGCAAGCTTCACAAAACATTGTGTCCTCTTGTAAAAACAATGAAATATAGTTGTTACTCTCACCTTATATTTCCAACACCAGCGCTGCGTTTGCTCACAAAAGTTGTGTGAGTGAACGGAAAGTTTCCAGAGGGAGTGCAAAATGTTTGCGAGCGGGGAAAAAAAAGACAGCATTGAAATATAATTTTCCTCCCTTCGCATACCCCCTATCACCATGTCCCATAGATTGGGAACACTCTTCATTGACAACAAGTCTGAATGGCATGCATGTTGTTAAGCTAAAAAAAAACATGGCACACCGAAATATTGCAAAAGTTCCTGGTTTTTAATTGTATACTTTACAGTGTTGAATTTAATTAGTGTGTGTGTGTATATATATATATATATATATATATATATACACACACATATATATACACACACACACACACACAATTAACATATTTTTTAACTATACTACATTCTTAATCTTCACTGTGACTGATTTTGCAATGTTGTCTTAGGGTGCGGTCACATTTAACAATTTTTGGCTGGATTTTGCTAACAAAAAAAGGTCCATTGTGAAAAGTTTAGCAATGTATGAAGCGCAGCTCATGTAGAAGTCACTTTCAAACCAAAGATGATTTCTGTTGGTGAATCCAATGAATTTGGATGACCAACTTGAACACAAGTGAAATCTGCTTGGGGAACTCTTTTTGGCCTTACGCAAAACTCCTGATCACACAGATTGAAATGACTGGATTTCGTCCATGAAATTTCGCAGTGGAATATTAAATGTGACCGGGCCTTTAGAATTGGCCCAAAAGGCGGCGGCATCTATCTTTTGGGACATCCAGTGCGTCTGGTGTGCATTTATGATGCCGTTCAAGTCGGCAGCATACTAGGTTTTGGAACAGAGTTTGTGTACCTGTCATCAATACAGTTTTTGTGTCCTTCCACTTAGCTGATTGACCGGAGCAGGATCCTGATTCTCCCGTGTGTGAACCCTGATGGTAGGGAGCAGGCACATGAAGGAGTCTGCTCTTCCAGTGTGGGGCACACCAATGCTCGTGGAATAGATCTGGATACTGATTTCTTCTATGGTCAGTCAACACTCTGCATTGAAATGATGTCATTAACAAAATCTTGTGAAGTGGTCAGTGAATATGACATTTGTATTTATACTTAGGTAATAAATCAGTGCAGCCAGAGACCCGTTCAGTGATGGATCTGATTTATGGAGGGGGTTTCTCTCTCTCAGTAGTGCTGGAGGGAGGCTCTCTGCTGGCCACGTATCCATATGACAGACCTAATCAGCATGGTAACCAACAGCACAATATTTGTTTATATATATTACTATTACTTATTCGTTGTGTTAAGGATCCTAACTCTTAAGTATTAAACTCTGTTATATAAACGATCCTGCACAGTTAATTTATGAGTGATTGGGCTTATATTGGGCTTCTGATTTTTACCCAGAACAAAACGAGGAGACGTTGAGATATTTGGCTTCCTTGTATGCCAGAAGTCATCCTTTCATGCACTTGGGTAACATGAAATGTACAAAAAAGTCAGGTAATGTTGAAAAGACTTTAAGATTAAAAGAATATACTGCTAAAATTACATAGCAAAAAAATCACAAAACATGATATGAAGATGACTCTATCATTCTTTAACTCAACAGAGAAAATCCCAGGAGGGATCCTGAAGGGTGCGGATTTCAGTTCTCACACTGGCAGTATGAAGGTATTGGAATCATTTGAGATTGTCTGTCTGAATGGCAGATTTTTTTTTTTTCATGTTTGTAGATATTGTTCTTGTCGTGACGTGTCGCTTATGACTTGCTTGTTGTGACTCATTAGTGTATTTAACATCAAATTACATATATTAATTGATCCATTTTGGCCATGCTGGGCCTTGATACACCTGGTATTAAGATGCGTTTTGGTCGATCGGATCACAAGTGGACGACGCTAAATACAGGTGTAAACGGGGTCTAAAAAGTTGAGCTTGTCTACTTTCAACCACTTCCAGAGGTATTAAAAACCCACTCAACCCGATTGCTTTCGTAGTGTAAACGCGCATGTGTTCGAACAGCCACTTAAAGACCGCCTGCTCTCCGTCTACTGACCTAATGCGAAAAACGTTTTAGGAAGTGTGCTAGCCAGACGGGATTTAAACTTTGTTGGCTGGAGACCCAAGTTTGTACTTGGTACGTTTTTCATCTTCAAACCAATGTTCTCTCACTAGCCTGGGAAAATCCAGACAACTTCCGGCAAATTTAGATTTGCTCTGAAAGTTAGTCTGGCAAAGAGCTCATTCAAACCCATTTCCAATCCGTCGAAATCGAGGCACCAATCAGAAACGTTGGGGCGGGCTTTACACGATGACGACAGCGCTGGGATTTTGAAGCAGATTTTGTAGCCTACATTACAAAGATGGATGCCGCCGTCGAACATCACTCGTTCGAATCAGCTATAGCGTCTGTTTTAAGCGATTTGAACGTTTCCTTTTTGTTAAAAACCGAGCAAAGAACAACACTCGGAGATGTTTCTCCGCCGCTCTGCATACGTCATCTCCTTCATCGCTCTGATTGGGTTAAGGTCTATCGGCGACGTCCGTTGGTGACGCCCCTCTGGAAATGATTTGTCTATGACGCTTTGCCAGACCATAACTCAGTTACAACTGAGAATGGTCTGGTTTTAACCAGGCTATTCTCTCACCATTCCTGATTTCTAACACACACTTAACAGTGTTTGGTGTGGTCTTGCGACTGTCAGAGCAGAAACCAAAGCTGCAGCTCTCCGTATGTTTTTCGGTCGCGTTCATATGTAAATTGCATTCGATTATTTCATCCATTAGATCGAAAGATCAGAAAAATTCCATAGACCCTCCCCTCAAAGAAATCAGGACAGAAGTGGTTGAAAGTGGACAAAAGAGAAGGATTAAAGCACCAGGTGTGAACGGGAATGTGTCTCCCTCTTCTACTTGTGATCCGATCAACCAAAACACATCTTACCAAGTATAAACGGAGCCCCAAGTTACAACTTGTGTGCTGAATGAGGCAGAACTGTTTAAAATGATCAAGTGTTCGCTCTAGTTCACCAAAATGAAAATTGTCATTTAGCCCAGTTAAATCAAACATTATCCAAAAATCTTTCCCTCCACTGAAGCTCTCAAATCTCATTTTCTGCATATTCCGTGTTGTATGTCTTTTTTAAGAAACTACAAATGTTTCTCTTTCAGGACTTCAGTTTGGATGTGGGTGTTTGCCCTGAGATCACAGTGTACACTGGCTGTTGTTTGTTCCCACCTGAACATCAGCTCTTCTCGATGTGGATGGAAAACAGAATGCCTCTTTTCCGCATGCTGCTGGAGGTGGACACGCTCGAACTAACTTTCTCATCTTCTCAGAATATAGCCAGCCATATTTTCAAGCAACCTAAACTCATTTAAACCTATGTTTTCCTCATATTTGGTCTCTGAAGGTTCACAGAAGTCTGAGTGGTTTTGTGAGGGACAGTAAAGGCCGCCCGGTGTCGGATGCTGTTGTGATGGTGAACGGTTCTGTGACTGTTCATGCTGACAGTCAGGGTCACTTCACCACTCTCGTGGCTCCAGGCACACTTCAGCTGCAGGTTCAGGCCCATGGATATCAGCAAGTGCTCCAGCAGGTATGTTTTAGTAATGGCTAACGGCTTTAAGAGGTTATATATATATATATATATATATATATACACACAATATAATGCAGATGATTTTGGCATAATAAAACTAACACAAGATTAATATGCTACTGTTCAAAAGTTGAAGTAAGTTTTTTTTTTTTTCTACTTTTCATCAAGAAATTGAACAAAAGTGAAAGTATAGACATTTATAATGTCTATAAAATAAAAAAGTGCTATTTCATATAAATGCTGTTCTTTCTATTCTTCAAAGAATCCTGAAAAAAATGGTTTCCACAAAAATATTAGGCAGCACAACTGTTTTCAACATTGATAAGAGATGTTTTTTGAGCAGCAAATCAGCATATTTGAATGATTTCTGAAGGATCATGTGACACTGAAGACTGGAGTAATGATGCTTAAAATTCAGCTTTGCATCACAGAAATAAATTACATTTTAAAAGTCGGTATAACAAATGTTGGGCGGGACTTGATTTTGTCCATTGGAAATTGATTGGATCATTGTAGTTCGATGTGATGCGAGTGACAGGTTGTCTCACCAATTATTATTTCACAATATTAATGGTTTTTCTGAGTTTTGATTAAATAAATACATCTTGGGTGATCACTGCTTTCAAAAACATTTTAAATCTTACCTATCCCAAACTTTTGAACAGTAGTGTAAAAAAATATTCATATATTAAGCTGAAATGATCACGCTGCTTCTGTCCAGGTTAAACTGCACACATTCTACAATTCTCTCATTCTCCGTCTGTGGTTTTAGGTGAATATATCCTCAGACAGAGTGACCAGTCCCATTGTGATTGACTTTACAGCAGACGGGGCTCCCCTCAGTCGGGCAGTGTTTGTCATTGCCACAGGTAAATCTTAACACTTTAATCTTAACACTTGTTCTAATTCTAGTGATCTCATTGGTCAAAAGAAGTTGATATTAAATAAGTACCTATTATGCTTTTCTCCCTGAAATGCCTCAATTGTAGTCTTAAAGGCACAATATGTAAGATTTTTGGATTAAAATATGCAAACTAGAACAGTTATATATTTTGTTGATTTTTGTACTTATATTATCCCAAATGTTTCCAAGAAGATATAAATCCATTTACGATTTTACTTCTGTAGAAACCATGGAAACACCAAAGATGTTTTAATATATTATGTGTTCTATTAGACGGGTGAACAACTGTTTGGATACCTTTATCAGAAAACAAATCATTGTTATAGCTCAACACGGTTTGTCTTATTGTTTGAATCTCTTGTTTTCTTGATTTACCGAGAGTAACATGTTTGTATCATGCGTGTTGACACAACACTATTTTTTTACGCGGCTAACATAGCAGAGTCAAAGAGCTTTATTTGTAGTAACAGTAATACAGCGTTTTCTCCACCATACAATTTTATTTTATTTTTTTAAATGAACTGCATGCCATTTAGCAACAAGTCATCCAGCTTTTATTAATATGATATTCTATTATCAATCTAGCTTACTGCGGTGTGCAACAAGTGTCTCATACCAGCCACCGAGCGAACGCACAGTGTTATAACAACTTTCAGTTTCAACGTTATAACTTTCAGTTTCAACACATTCGAGCGTATTTTTAGTGTGATTGTTTTGACCATGTAAAACAGCGCTGCGTTACCCCTCAATTTTAATTAATCAAATAAAGTGAGGTGTATTAGTAGTAATTCAGTACTTGAAATAAACATGATTTCTGTCAGTTTGCTTATCAGCTGTAGAGGTAAAGACAACAAGTCCCATGATTCCATTCACTGCATCATCTAATATTTTGTATTTTGCTAAATATATGCACTGTTACACTTATTGTATTTTTACTCGGATCTTAAAAACATATTATAACATTATTATAAAAACGATTGAATCAAGATCAGAATCAAATAACAAGATTATGAGTTGAAATTGTGAAATTTGTGTTAAGGACTAATAAAAAAGTAGCCTACCAGCCATTGTAAACATTGTAACATGTTGTCACTTATCAACTTAAAGCTGCAGTCCGTAGCTTTTTTTGGGTTAAAAATTATCCAAAATACATATTTGAGAAAATACATAACCAGCCAGTGTTCAAAACTATCTGCTTGCCTTAGCTCGATTCAAAATGGTAAGCTTGTAATAATGTTTTTAATTCCAGTGGTACTGGTGGATTTCCGCGGGAGATTCGAGCATGTGTTTGCGTCATTACGTCACATCTGTACACATAAAGGAGTCTCGGCTAGTAGGCTATATTGCGTGTGAGGATGCTGGAGGTGGAGATTTATAGGCTTTTCTCACAGCACTTCATATAAATAAACTTATAAATTTGATGGCAGATCCAGAAATGTTCAAACGACAATCACCAGTGACAACAGATTCACCCGCTGTAAAATGCAAAAGACTTCGTTCGGACTTCGGAGTGGCTACAGAAAAAAAGAGACTGCAACCGGCCCATGCGAAAACAAGGATACATATCGGAAGGACATTACATAGTCACGCAATGCTTGCTTATGTTGTTAACATTAACAATTTGAGAACAAAGTATAATTTGCACGGTTTTGCGTGATATGATAACTTATAAGCGATTGTTAGATTTAATCCGCGCGATTTACTACAATGTCAGAACCAGAACAAAAGTGGATGTTTCTTACTTATTCAGATGACATTTTCCGGTGAAAATTCTTATGTTGGTCATACTTCCAAAAAGAATAATCTGTGATTCTGAATGACAATATCCACATCGGCGCGGTGACTGACAGCTGCACACTCTCCTCAAACATTGTGTTCATCCGCGCTGTGCCGTGTCGAGGGTGTGGAAGTACAACTCACGTAAAGTTGATAATTCCGACTGACTGCAAATGACTGCAATTGCAGATTTCGAACAGAGATGGCGACAAAGAAAACCTGCGGACTGCAGCTTTAATGAAATTCTGTTTAGTTACCAAATGTTTTGACAATCACAATACATTTATTGTGATGCAAGGTTTTTCCATAATTCTCGCTCCAAGCTAAACTCAAAAGTTTGCAGCCCTGCTTACATACTGTGCCTTTTAAGTTTTCTTCCGGGAACACGCACGTCACAATTCCTCGTTTAAATAATTCCCACCCAAGGCATATGCAAAACAAAGGGGCGAGGCCTGGTTGAGTTGCTTTAGTACGGTGTTGAAACTTGCAGTGATGGAAAAGGGCCTGGACAGCCAACCAATCAGAGTACATTCTGCTTTTTGGAAGGAGGGGCTTCATAAAGACAGGAACTAAACCGTGTTGCAGTACCTCTTTCCCCGGTCTGTCAGGAACCATCTAAAATGTGTGAATTATTATTTTTTTAACATTCAAGCATGAAAACCTATTCTATTATACTCCAAAAACAAAATCAATACTTTGTAATAGGACCTCTATAAATATAAAATGAATTTGTAAATCAGCATATTTTATAAAACAAGTATTCGTACAGTATTTAAACCCATATTATTAAGTCTTTGTTATAAATTCAGGTCATATTAATTATGAGCTAAGCATTTGCTACTTGTCAAACTCCCTCTGAATAAACTGATGAATGACTTGAATGAAAGGACTCCTATAAAAATGTAGTGGTAAACTGTCCTGCAACCCTTTATCCTCGTTTAGCCTCTTTGATGAGCATCTTGATCTGCGCTCTCCTCATCTGGCACCTTCGCTCTGCCAAGTTCAGCCGCATACGAGACGGGGTTCGTTGGTTGCGTCGCAAGAGGGAAGACCTCCGAATGGAGGCGATGGCTTCAGAGAAGTCACCCTTGCGAGAGGAGTTTCTGGATGAGAGCGAGAGTGAGGATGACCCTTTCTTTGTGGAGCCAAGATGAATGTACTGTCACAACGTTTAAGAATAAAACGTCACTGTCTTTATGCTCAGTAAGTCAAATGACTTGTTTATACACTTTGCATCTTTCCCACTACATTCATTCATTCATTATGTATTTAAACTTAATAAAATATGTGCATTTACCAGTCTTAAGTTGTTACTAATGGTGGATGCACAGCTAGTTGGTATACTTTTGTTTTAAGAAGTTTAAAAACATCCCTGGGGTCCGTTCTTCATACGTGAAATACTCCCTGACGATTTGACATGGTCCAGGATTGTTAGGTTCTTTGAAGCTCATCCTAGAGTTGCTGTCATAGATGTATTAAGCGAGGTACGAAGGTCTAGCGATCCTTGATGTAAACTGTTTATCATTGAATGAACAGCAGGTGGCAGTGAAGCACCAATACTTTTGACAAAAAAATCAAGAAATGTTGAGAATGGGATGGGGAATAATGTTACAGTATGTAATTGCTCAGGAAAGCATCACCGTTACTATTACCCATAGAGTTTTGTTCAAGTCCCTAACCCCTAATTATTCAACATAAGCACATAGGCTAAGCACCTCAGACTTTCGGCAATATTGTCTGTTTTTGGGATTCAATTGTATGTAACCATAGCGACAGGGACTAAAGTAACATCAAAGATGGTGACATAAATAACTTGTATTTGAAACGACAAACATTCAGGTGCTGTTCCAGTTCATCTGTCAGATTGAAATGATCCAACAGCAGTTTTTATAGCCTATCTGAGGGTGTTCACGCTTGTAGTTCGGTTCGTTTGGTCCGGACCTTTTTTAGGGTCTCATCTTCCTGTTTTTGGTTCGTTTACATGCCTTTGGTCCGTGTTGCGTTCATGTATCATTCGAACCTTTTCAGTGGTCTTGGCCTGGATGGCAGCGTTCACACTTAATCAAATAAACCGCACTAACAGCAATTCCACCAGGGTTCGTTTGAACCAAATCAAACATGCCAATTGTGAACAAACCCTGGTGCGATGTGATCTGTGCAGTTCACACTTTTCTCTCTATTGTGACGCACTGTATCCGAGTGAAACAAGAAAAAATGTAGTGCAGGACTTGATTTTGTCAAGAATTGATTGTATGGTTATGATTTGCTATTGCTGTGATGTCATGTGAGTGAAAGTTTGTCCCACCCCATATGCCAGTCATCGGAGAAAAGAGATGTCGCTGCAAAAAAAGGAGAGGAAGTTATTTTCATTATGTGGACACATTAGTTCAAAGAAATGTGCACAGATAAGTATTTTAAATATTGCAATATTCCAATGGGAGGGCAAAAATGCAAGATTTGTCAGTTTTGATTTTATGGTGACATTAAAGCCCGCTTGACACCCCTGCTGTGCTCGACCCTAGAGACCAGAGCATGGACAACAAAAATGTGGTACAATTTTATTTAATCTTGAAAATTTAAGTGAGTTGGGTTATAGAATTTGGTTGTCACTCGGGGCCAGTGGCGTTTCATCAGTACCCCCCCCCCCCCCCCCCAACAAAAACTGCAGCAAATGGTTCAGTGTGCGAGTGTTCACGATTCAATTTGATTCATTTGGACAGTTCAATTTCAGACCTTTTTTGGCAAAGCAGTTTGAGCGATTGGATCAATCTGAGTGATTTATATTGCTAGTTTTAATTCTAAACAGCTGATTGAGAAAACCCAAATTGATTGTTGAAGTGTTATCAGAGAGAAATTATTCTGGTGTCAGTATAGTAATCCAATTGACAAGAATTATCTGTAATATTTTACTAGTGCACAGTAAAAACACTGGGGTTCATGTCCCAGTAAAGAGGGTCTAGTGAAGCCACTGTTAAAGACTCAAATATATTACCATATTTTGTTGCTGTGTGAACGTGGCCTGTAACCACAGAAATACCTGGTATGGAGCAAAAGCAGACAAGCATCAATCACAATTTCTTAAGGAAGTGTTCAAATCTCGTATGGTACATTTACATTGTTGGCTATTGAGTGCTGGATCAGTCTGAGTATTCAGGAGGGAATGAGCTGATGGAGAAGCTAAGTAATGCAGGGAGTCCCATCACACTCATTTCCTGTAAGTGGTACAGTGAGAGATGAGAGAGTCCATGTGCTGCTGAGATGGTTTATGTGACCAAAATCTTAAAGGGGGTCCCATTTCCAGAAGATAAAACAATTTCAAACTTGTATTTAACACATGCTGCGTCCGAATAAGCCGACTTTCATATTATATGGTAAGCGAAAAACTGTATGTGAACCGAGTAGTATGTCTGAATTCGTAGTATTCATAAAACAGTAGGCGAAAGTACAGCCTCCGACGAGATTCTGTAGTGTGCATATGATGGACACTTAACTGTCCCATGAGGCCACGGGAGAGGATTTGTGAAGCGACATTAGTAACTGATGCTGGTAGGTCACATGATACTGACAACATGGCGGATATAGTTCGTCCAGATTACAGTCATACTACACACATTCCTAATCTAACGGTCGTAAAGTAAGTTTCAAACCAAATGTAGTACTATTTACCCTACTGACATTATGACATGTGATTTCAGATGCACAAATACTGTTTTTTTTTTATTAATGGGAAAGTTCACCCAAAAATTACAATTCTGTCACTTTGACGCTTCAAAGAGTTCATCATATAAAGGGATTGTGTCTTCAGAAAATTTGAACTAAACTGCTCTAACCCTTTAAAGTAAAGAGCCTTTTACACCAAGAGATTGTAATGTTCTGTTTATGTAACGTTTCCGCATTAATACTTAAAGTCGGGTGGATTCTGATTGGCTGTGTCAGAGTTGTTCATCAGCTGGGAAAAAAAAAATTTGTTCTGAAAGTGATTCCAATGATATTGTTCCTCTCTGCCTTTTATAGTTGTGGTGTGAGCTCTGCTATTCTTTTAAATTTATAATGATTTTTAAGGCTCTATTAGTTCGCCCTTGGTGTGAACGGGCCTTAAAATCACGGTCACCATTCACTTTCATTACATAGAAAAGAGCAGCTTGCTCAAACTGCTAAATATCTCATTTTGTTTTCATGCAACAAAAGAAATTAGAACATGACTATAGCAATAGACTACAGGAAGCTACTTTGTAGATAATGCCCTTTTCATTGTCATTCTCATTATGTATTGTCATAATGTCAGCTCTCTCTCAGAGGATTCTGGATGGGAAAGTCCATTAGAAGTTTCCTGGAATTCAGCTGTGGTTTACCTCAACAACTTCCACAAACCTGTCTCTCGAATGAAAATGATCCGAGACAACAGCACTCCGCTGCAACATTGACATTAAACCTCGTTTCGGCATCACATGACTCTTCTGTGGCTTTATTGGCTCTTCGGGTTCCATTGTCTCGCTAAAACACATTTCTGTTCTTAATAAATCCTGCAAGCTTTCATGCTGTGCTCGCAGGATAGTGAGCTGAGGAATCCACTCTCTGTTCATGTTTAAGTGAAGCTCACAGCTGTGCATTACTCCTCCCACTGGGCTAACTGGGCCTTTCTGTCTGCAAGAGAACGACCGATAAGTGCTATTGATTTTCTAAACTTCATTTGAGCGTGTCACAATCTGCTTAAACACTTTCTCCATAGGTCAAGAGCTCAATGCTGTGGGTGTTTGGTTCAAGTATAATAGAAGATAATGAAGATCTTTGAAGGGGAAAGAATATCGAATGACAGTTTTAATAATCTCTTGAATGATCTTAGTCACCAAAATGGACATCTCTTATTTTCTTATGGAATATTGCAGTTTTTATAGAAAATGAATTATCAGTGCACATTATTATTTTATTTATTTTTTATTCATGTGCCCTCTTAATCTTTAATCAAAATAACTTCCCCTCCCTCTTGCAGTGACATCTCTTCTCTGATGATGTGGGCGGGGCAACCTGTCACTCACATGAGATCGACCAATAGCAAACCACAACCATCCAATCAATTCGCTATGGACAAAATCAAGTCCCGCCCTACATTTTGTTTCTTGCTCGAGAAGCTGGTTCACTCAGATATACGTCACACTTGTGAAGAAAAAACTACCGCAACTTTAAGCTTTGTCTTGTTGCTATTTGCTTCAAAAAGAAATAATCCTATCTCATGAGAAAACGTAATGAGTGTGTTGCAAAATACATATATTAAGACTAATATGGCTATATTTGTAAGTGTTGTGAGACTTAATATTAGGATAATATAGCCTAACAATTTTAGTGATTATATTGTTTAATTTAAACAATATAATCAAGCACCTAGGCATGCAGACTGCTTCTACAAACATTTGTGAAAGAATGGGTCGCTCTCAGGAGCTCAGTGAATTCAAGAGTGGTACCGTGATAGGTTGCCACCTGTGCAATAAGTCCATTCGTGAAATTTCCTCACTACTAAATATTCCACAGTCAACACTAGTGGTATTATAACAAAGTGGAAGTAATTGGGAACAACAGCAACTCGGCCACAAAGTGGTAGGCCACGTAAAATCACAGAGCGGGGTCAGCGCATGCTGAGGCGCACAGTGCGCAGAAGACTGCAACTTTCTGCAGAGTCACAGGCTACAGACCTCCACACTTCATGTGGCCTTCAGATTAGCTCAAGAACAGTGCGTAGAGAGCTTCATGGAATGGGTTTCCATGGCCGAGCAGCTGCATCCAAGCCTTACATCGCCAAGTGCAATGCAAAGCATCGGATGCAGTGGTGTAAAGCACGCCGCCACTAGACTCTAGAGCAGTGGAGACGTGTTCTCTGGAGTGACGAATCACTTTTCTTTGTCTGGCAATCCGATGGATGAGTCTGGGTTTGACGGTTGCCAGGAGAACGGTACTTGTCTGACTGCATTGTGCCAAGTGTAAAGTTTGGTGGAGGGGAGACTATGGTGTGGAGTTGTTTTTCAGGGGTTGGGCTTGGCCCCTTAGTTCCAGTGAAAGGAACTCTTAATGCTTCAGCAAACCAAGACATTTTGGACAATTTCATTCTCCCAACTTTCTGGGAACAGTTTGGGCATGGCCCCTTCTTGCGCACCAGTGCACAAAGCAAGGTCCATAAAGACATGGATGAGCGAGTTTGGTGTGGAGGAACTTGACTGGCCTGCACAAAGTCCTGACCTCA